TACATTGATTGATTTAAGCATAGTATTGCTTTGATTATTTTGTGGAAACAAAACAATTGATACACTTGACGGTGTTTGCTTTTTTTTTTGGTCGACTTTTTTTTGGTATGACAAACGAATATTCTTGGAGCTATTATTACGAAGTACGGAAGGGATGAACGGAGGAGCTAGAGAAGCCGGGAGGTGAGGGCGGGGGGCATGTAAAAGTCTGAATGGACAACCTGGAATTTTCGTCAGACCCTTCTCACGAGACTGTCGATTGCTGCATATCTCGGGGTGACTCTATAGACATATCTATACATATAAATTGTTTTTTTTCTCGATTTAATTTATTTATTTATTTCTGTATACTTATTAAAAAAATTTTAACCTATCTATAAATATCTTTTTTAACTTTTTTCATACACGTTTGTTTTAATTGCCTTAATTTAATTGCTTTGTTCGATGCTCTGAATGATTCTGAAAAATAGAAAAGTCTTATTATGACGAATCGGCAATTTTTTTCACACTGAAGTCTCAGGTCAGTCGAGCGAGTGCACACGTTGATAATGGGGAAAAAAAAAAAAAGAAAACGATGTACAGGTATACGAGAAAGTAACTCGGAGAGATTAGGAAAATCGAAAATAAGGATGCTGGTGGAAATGATAAGTGCGTAGAAAATTATTGGATTAGTTCGTAGCTCTTGAATGTTAATGTTAATACTGTGATAAGTACCAAAATCAAAAAATGAGTCTTAATCGCCCTCGAAACAAGGGCTGGATTAAAAGAGAAAAGGAAACAGGAAAAGTTCTTGTGAATTGTCGAAATATCGAAAAATAGCCGACAGACGGCTACGGACGTCATCTGTTCCTCGAGGATAATCCCGCGAACGTATCTATCCCTAAAACGCAGTAAAACTGCATGGTCCCGTATGGGGTGGGAAGTAAGAATCCGGTAGTGGGGGTATGTCGAAGGGCTAACGCAGCCGTCCGTGAGAAGGTAGGGAGGGGTGGAGTGGGAAACAGTAAGTTTTCATACAGTCTGACTGTCAGTGACAGTGAAATGGCATGACAGACCGCGAGCAGTCGCGTTAGGGCAAAGCAGCGTCCGTAGGGGATGAAATATACGGGAAAGGACTGAAATTCCAAAATTCCGAAGAAAAATACCGAACAAAAAAAATATATAATCCACCCCCAATTTCGACAGTGCGATAAATCAGCTTGGACTATACAATTTTTGAGCCTCGAGACAACAATTTTTTTAACGAGTGAAAAGTGTCAAAAAACTTGAAAATTTTACAAAAGACAGTGCCGATAAGTTTCATTTTTTTTTTTACAAAATTTTTCATTTTTTCCTTCGGCGGGGATTGAATTCTTCGGTAGGACAATTCCCCGCGCTCGAAGCCCTGTGCGATTTTCAAGTCTCCCCTAGCGGACGTCCAAGGAACCCTCGAACAGGCAAGGTCTCCTACCCTTCGACCTACGAGACACGAGCCGGACCGCGCACTGACCATTGTCCACCAATCGGCGTTCCCGTTTGACCAGTGACATCTGACCGGAGGCTCAGCAACCAACCCCCAACTCGTGCCACGTGTCGACTAACGCCCTTTCCTCGTTTCTTGTCTCTCTTCCTTTTTTTTTTCTTCTTCTTTCTACTCCTCGTCCTTCCATCTCCCCTCGCCCCATCGCCCAGTCCACTATTTCGATGACGGTTTTACGCGCGACGCCACCGGCAGCGTCGCGACGCACTGCCATCGCGTAGTCGCGTGCTCGTTGAACCCCCTGTGAAAACTGCATGCTCGATGTGAACCACCTTGTTGTTTTTATTAAAAAACTGCAACTCCTAAAATTTTCCATGTGGACTGTACCCATTTTAAGTGTTACACAGTGCCAAGTGACTTTCTCATTTCAAACTCGAATAACGAGGGGTTCGATAATGTCCAAACGATATCCTACAGCCAATGATGATCGTCATAGGGGTGACTCTCTTATCACGAAGGTCCAACCCGTTACTGTGTTTCCTTGTGGGGTGCGTGAATGTTACCAATGATGCTGCGGATGTCATGGGGTTGCGATAGTTTCGTTATCAGGGGAGCGCTCATCATTTCTTTTATTTTTTTTCAATGGATCCGTGCTGTGTACGTGGTTATTGTCTTGTCGATGCTAATCGAAGAATCGTCATTGAGTAGGAGGGTAAGCTGAATTCTTTTTATTTACTTTTTATACACTTTTCGTCAAAGGGATGAACAGTAAAGTTATCTTAGCCACTTTATTCGCATCGAAAAAAAAAAGAAATTAATAATTTCGTAATCTTTTATTCAATTTTAATTTCTTTCTTATTTCTCACTTACGAAACGTAAAGAGACAGGGTTGTCGTATTATATTACCCTTGACAGTAGACGAACCTGTAAGGGTTGCGTGGTGTGTTTTTATGGGGTTGATATACCTGTTATGCATGAGGGGGAACCTATGTCTGATATGTACTTACCGATAGTGTTTCAATAGACTTTTTGGAATGCTCTGTAAATTCGAAATATTGTTCCAATATACTCGTTCTCAAAAATATACCAATTTTATCTTTCGTCGCATATATGTAAAAAAAAAAAGAGTCGAACATAATGACTTTTATTCATTTCATTGCAGCGATAGCCTCGAATAGCGTGCGCTGCCACTGGATATTTTCAATGACTGTTTTTATAGCTTTTTTTTTCTTTCTATTTTTTATGACTGTCCCCCCATGCAGTAGAGAGACGTGCAATTTTATTCTTGCAATGAATTATTCCGACTTTAAGGGTAAAATAAATTATGAGGCAAAATAAGAAATTTTTTTTTTGCCTGATAATGATTAATTGATGATTAATAGTAATAAATGTAATTTTCAAGAGACAATAAAGAAAAGCAGAGGGGTATCAGGATGAATCACGTGTCAGAGTAAAATTGTCAGGGGTGGGGATATAAGGATGACCTCGGGGTCAGATTCACGCGTTTACATCGGCACTGTGACAGCGCCACATTTTTTATGCGATAATGAGGCCAGAATCAAATATGTCAACCCACCCTTCCTCCCCTTCACCGTCCCTGTCACGTGACACACGACGTCAAAATACTTGATTCGAATTTATCGTCACATTTTTTTTTCTCTCTCTCTCTCCATCCTCCTCGCAGGACGTCATTTTATCTCTTTCGACTTTTTCTCTCACTCCTCGTTTGGTACCATTCTCTTTTTACCTATTCCAGTCATTTCTCCCACGAGGTTTGTCATTTATTTCAGAAATAACATCTTTTTCCTTTTCTACCACGAGCAAAATTTGACAACTCGCATTACGGAAATATGACGACAGATATATATATATGATAATAATGCAGATAGAATTGTTTATAGAAAATTTTGACAAATTTTTTTTTTGAAAATTCACGTAACTCGAACGAATTGTCCACGGTAGGAAAGAAAAAGACAAATTTTCCGATTTTTCTCAAATTACACATGTTCACCCCTATCGATTGATCCCAGAAAACTTTTGCGAGAGTGGCCAACCTAGCAACACCCCCGTATCCAGCAAAAATGTTTATGGTTCGCTGTATGACGGGGTGCAGTCATCCCCTCTACTGGCCGTCCATCAGCCATTAATTATTAATGTGTAATTAAGCCGCGGTTAATATTTGAGGGGGACGTATGTACATCCGTAATATTTCCGAAATCGTATCGGTGAAAAGGCGGGGGCGTATAGACATGAAAATGAGTCATGTGTCACCCCCCTTCAAGAAGCGCCTCCAACCTATTTCCACCCCTGAGTCCCCTTTTCCGAACTAACGTCCCTCGGGCGTCCGAGGGTTGTTTGCCAACTTTCGTTTTTCTTTCCACCACCACCCCCTGACATCCTTACAACCACCAGCAGCATCGCCATCAGGACACACTTTTCAACCCTCGTGCACCCTCTTTCTTTCTGGTTATATTTTCAGCGCCCTCTTCTTTCTCTGGATTCTATAGTGCCACAGGGCCCCAAGACTCGTTAGCCACCCCTGACAGACAACCACCCCGCATTTTCGCCCGGCCAAATCATTATAAGATTCCAAATTAATGCCCGGGCCGCCGAATTAAGTTCCTCCCCTACTATGTATTAGAATTAGTCCCTATGTACGATCAGGTTAGGTTAGAATCCATAGGGATAATGCATATCCTCTTATGCAGCTGTATGCACCTTATACGTCATCCAATACGACGTTCATTAATTTAGTATCAGGTTGCAGCCTGGACAATGACATTTCCATTGCTTATGACACACATGACACACATGGCTCATGGGATTTGCAAATTCCTCGTGTGAATTATATTTTCCGTACGCCTAAATCTTAACGGGACTTGGAAAAGAAGTTTGAAAATTTTCCCATTTTTTTCATCTATTTGAAAAACTCGTTCCGACTATTTGACATCGTGAAAATTAATGCGGATTTGAGAAAAAAAGTTTTTTGCCACAACAAATACTTTTTACGTACAATTAATTTCCGACCCTCATCCCCAAGTTTGTGAATTAACGTCCGTCCCATTTTTCCCTATAAGAAATTCCGAGAAGATGGATAACACTCTCGGGATATAATGAACAAACAGTATTAATCCTGTTTACGGAATCGTAGCGACAAATAAGAAGGAAAAAAAAAAGGGCAGCAAAGACAAGAAGTTCAGGAAATTTCTACGGGAGAAATGTGCCTGGTTCTAGATATAAAAATTCATTAAGCTCGTGATCCCCTAAATAAACCATAACACCATAAAGTCACAGGACATCCCCGACGTTATGCGACCATACTCATGCTTATACATATGTACGAAGTGGACTAAGAAAACGAAATTCTGATTTATACAATTTAATTAATACCAAACGAAAAATTCATTTTTAACATAAATTCCTAATAAAGGTACCAATCTCTGAAGTCGGGTCTTAAAAATTCTTGTTACCTTGTAATCGGCAGAGATCAAGGACCTAAGGAGGAGCAGAGGAGCAGGGGCAGGATCTTGAACTAATAAGGACAAAGGATCCCAGAATGACGTCCACACTATCGCGCGGTGCGATCCTGCCTGATCCTGGCGAGCTGGACAGCGACGGTTCGAGCGGAGAAGATCGAGACGCCAGGAAGCGTCTCCACGGCGACCTGGACAGCACCGGTCCGAAGAAGCGCCGGAAACAGACGACCCCGGTGAGGTTCCCGGCGTCGCTGATGACTGGTGAACGAGCGGAGTCTGAGGATGACGGCGACGACGACGAGGCGGACGTCGACGAGGACGTCGAGGCTGAGCGGGAAGGTAAGCAGCAGCGTCGTTCTCCCCAGGACTCGGTCACCGGTGATCATCGAGTAACGAGCAAGGACGAGAACCTGAATAACGAATTCCGCTGCCAATATTGTAGTCAATTTTTCGATAACAAGGAAACTTTGAATCAGCATATAGATAGCGAGCACTATGTACAGTCGCGAGACCAAGTGCAGGTAAAATTAGAGCCGAGCCTGGAGCAGTCCGAGAGTCCTGTCAATCTGTCGGGACTCAGTATAAAGAGTTTCGCAGCATCTTGGTTGTCGGGCCAAGTTCAAGGTCAGCCACCGGGTCAAGTTCAGGTACAGAGCGAAGACTGGACAGTCGGTAATACAGTGACACCCGTGAGCACGATACCAAATCATCTACAGGGTCTACCGTTTCCTAGTGCCCTGGCGCAGTACCTTCCTCTACCTGGTTTCCCGCTACCAGACTCGAGCCAGATATCGAGACCACCCATAGGTCCGGCCCCAGTAAGAATATTCAATCCGGATGCCTACTGCGACCTCTGCAACAAGGAGTTCTGCAACAAGTACTTCCTGAAGACACACAAAGCGAACAAGCACGGCATATACGTGGACTCGCCAGGTCAGCCAGCCACAGAATCCAATCTTGGTCCACCGGTTTACGGTGGCACGTTCACTCCTGGGAACATCAAGATGGAACAGATTCAGAGGTTAGACGTTGCAGCGGTGCCGCCGCCGCCGCCGCCGTGCATACCGACGCCCAGCGCCTCCTGCGACGTCTGTCAGAAGAGGTTCAAGAACGAAGAGTCCGTGAGGAAGCACAAGCAAAAGGTTCATTCGGAGAACAGTGAGCCTGGTGAGAATCAGCCGATGCAACCGCCATCTGTCGAGGATGACCGGGACCAGAGTTATCACAGTCTGAGCCCAGGAGCTATGGAAGCACTTTTCAAGCAGGAGTTCGGCGTGGAGCAGGAAGACACGAGCTTCATGCCGGCACCCAGACACCTGTCGCCGCAGTCGATCCAGCAGGCTAGGGATTCAGGTTTCAACGCGGACCGTCTACGTAGACTGGGTGTTATAAATCCTGATGCCTTCTGCGAGATCTGCTGCAAGGAATATTGTAACAAGTACTTCCTGAGGACGCACAAGATGAAGCGCCACGGTATCTACATCCAGGACAGCGAGAAGTCACCCAGCAACCCTGGGGCGGCCGCCAGCTGGCACCAGGTGCAAACCAGTCCGCTGAACCTGATCGTGACCGAGACGACCGGGAACAGTTCAGAGTCCAGTGATAGACCTGGCGAGGAGCACGAGTGCAAGCCCTGCGGGTTGAGATTTCAGACCAATGGATTGCATCAGGCGCATAGACAGAAGATGCACGAGATCGAAGAGCAAAGGTCACCCAAGCAGGACTACGAGGTCGAGATCACGGATCAGCGACCTGACTCCATTTCCGAAGATCTTCAGAAGCTCCAGACAATGATCCTGCAACTGAACGGTTTGGAATCTAGTCGCGGTGCACCCTGTGCAGTCTGTGGAAAAGAATTTGAAACCCGGTTAGCTCTCAGGAGTCACATGACCACCGATCACGGCGCCATCATCGAGGAGCCAACGTCACCGTGTCCGGTGACAGAGAAGTCACCGACACCTATGGGCGGTACCGTCAACTGCACCGTCTGCGACAAGGAATACCTGAATCACGATCTATTGAGGAAACACATCAGCGAGGAACATCAGAATCAAAATCAGAATTGTACACCGGCGACGACACCGCTTCCCCAGGCGGTGCCGATTCCTGTAACTACTACGCCGACGTCGGCGCCAGCGGCGCAGACCGAGCGCAAGGCGTCCGTGTCCATGACGCCAACGTCCAGCTACTGTGAGATATGCAATAAGGAGTTGTGCAACAAGTACTTCATGAAGACTCACATGCAGAGGATGCACGGGATTGAAATTGAAAATGGGGCCCAGATCGGTGGCGTTATATGCAATATATGTAACAAGGAACTGTGCAGCAAGTACTTCCTCAGGGTTCACAAGCACAACACGCACGGTATCGTCGAAGAGGGCACTTCCGGTTCGACTAAGCAAGAATCCTACGAGTCCTCGAATAGCGAAGACTCGGCCTTGAAACCCGAACAGTTAGGTGACCTGAGTCACAGATACTTCACCCACTTCACCGAAGTGTGTCCGATATGCAGCAGAAGATTTAGGAGTACGAAATGGCTGAAGGCTCATCTGCTGGGAGACCATGGCAAGGCAGGGGTGGACAAATGGCGTGAATTGGAACAACAGTACCAATCGGCACCACGAGGTGGGAGCAGCAGCAGCAGTAACAATAGATCGGCAGGACCTTCGAGGTCTGCGCATCAGAATTCTAGCCTAAAGATACCAAACGGCCTGGAACTGGGTCAGCACGTTAAATCTACCGATTACACTGGTCTTGGCAATCAGGTACTGTCCAACTTATTTGGTACCGGTTCCGAGGATCAGCAACTCAAGAGCTACAGGTGTTCCTACTGCAACTTCACGACGACGGTGCTGCCATTTTTGTTCCTTCACGAAAGGTCTCACGTGAGTCCTCAGGGCGGAACTGGCCTGGACAACGACAGGGGACTCCAATGTCCGATTTGCTCCCAGGGTTTTCCACAGCCTGAACTCCTGCACCATCACCTCCTGACTCAACATCAGTTTCCCGGACTGCTCACGCAATTCCAACCGCCGACGCTGAACAACATCAGGCCTGAAATAGGCGTCGATAAGCATCAAGTTGAAACGAAGGATCAGGATCAGAAGGAGGAGCGTCGGCAGAGCAGTCCTCAGACGTCATCAAGTTTGGAGGTTAAACAAAAAAGTGAGGAACCCGCAGTCCAGGTGACACCTCAGGGCGCCTATAAGTGCGCCCAGTGTGGCTACGCCACTGCCAACCTCAATAGGATCAAGAAGCACATCAGGAAGGATCACAAGACCCTCGGCGATCCTACTGATAGCGTGATAACGGAATTGAGCAAGACTCTCAAAGACGTCGCCAACAAGCACAAGGTGCCAGCCAGTTACGCGATGCCGCAGGACATGAATTCGAATCCCGACAGGACGGTAATGCAGCCCTTCCTTATAGAGGAGTGCGACCTCACGACGCCCGGCGAAGAATCAAGCTCGGAGAGACGCTTCGCGCCGGCCCTCATCTATTTGCCTGTTAAATCGCGCATAAACGGCCCCTTGACTGCGTCCTTTACACTGAGTCCCGCCTGAACCCGCTTCTCTGCGGCGTTCTCGGCTGCTATTGGCTGGCTATTCAATTGCCGCGAAATACGAAATGCGAAAGCAAAGAACGCGCAGGATTCTCAAGATTGAAATGGCAGGCAGGTTAAACTGGGATTTATTAGGTAAAAATCACAAAGCACGTGGGTTTTGGTTCCTAGGAATGCGAGTGAGGTAGAGTGAGAGAGTGTGAAATTCAAAAGAATAATATTGCGAACTATGATGATGATTATGATGATGATGGTGAGAGACAAAAATGATAAACAAAAAAAATCAAAATAGTTTAAAGCGACCCGACGTATATTGGCGCAAGATGATATTTTTTTAATAAGATCGAAACAATTTTATAATACACTCTCCGCGTGACCGCTGACTCGCGGTCATCTATCTTAGATTAATTTTGTTAATGATATTCTTAATTTTTTTTTTTTTTAAATTACTTTTGGCATTCCATTTTTATCTGCGTTTCTGAACACTTCTAATGCCCGTGTTCCTTGAACATGGCCTTCGATCGACTTCATCGCGGCTCCGCGTTTAGAAGCCACGTTGTTATAAGTATAATTCTAATCGTGATGTTATATTGTAAATAATAATAATCGTAACTTATTGATACGAACGGGTGATCGACAAAGTTCCTATTTTAAATGCGTAGGGTACCAGGGAGATTGATCGACGGCCATGCTTAAGGAGTAAATAGATACATACATACGTTTCGTTAATTACATTTTCGTCATTGATCAATCAATCGATTAAATCATTAAGAACCTTTCGTGATTTTCTGGTCTTGCGTTACTATTTTTTATTGCAATTTTGCAATATAAAAAAAAAATACATTTTCACTCACCCACAAAGTTGATACAACATACACCATTGTTCTAGTATAATTAACAAAAGATTTTAAAAATCATGGAAATCGATATTTATCTTTTTCAACGCAAGATCAGCCAATCGACTGGTACGTGTATAGTACATATTTACAGTATTGATACGCCAGATTAACTTTAACAAAAAAAAATAATTTTATCGTTTTTTCTAGTTTTTTCTCTAGTCAATACCTTTAGTATAATTAAAACAAAGTCGATAATTAGATGGACTTAGACGAACGATGACGTGTCTATCGGTAGGCTTAGATGTCCGTGACGTCACTAGAGTTAACAAACGGTTCTCAAACGGCAACCATGACGGCGGGAATTTTTAAAAAATTATTACTAAAAAATCGAAACGGCCTGAATGTCAAAATTGGCCCGCGCTGAGGAAAAACAAACCAAAGAAATCAAAATTATTTTGTCATGGTTGCCAAAAGAAAAAAAAGGAGAGACGGCCGGTGCGCGATGCCAATTTGTGGCCGTTAGGTTTGCGAACTAGTTTTACTGTCAGGAAGTACTATAGACATTGTTGACGGAGAGAGGGTCAAGGGGAGGACTAAAAATGGACAGGGATGAAGTGAAAAAAAAAATAAATAAAATAAAATAAAACGAAGTAAAAATCGTGGAAGGCAAAAAATATATTCTAACAAATAATAAACCAACAAACTCAGGGTGGACACAGTATAACCCGCAACAAAAGTACAATCAAATACACAGCCAACGCATTAAATAGTATAAATGAGATGAAGAGAGAGAGAAAAAAAAGATGTGTTAAAAAAACTATTATACATATACTAATTAATAACTGCAGGTAGCGATGGCGCAAAGTCGCATCGCCATATCCAAAAAAAAACAAAAAAAAAAACAAGTTAGGTCGCCCGTTAATAACAATATCTATCTACCTCGCAAATCGTTCAAAATTTATATCATAATTTTTTAATAAAAATTTTTTCTTTTTTCTATCTTACGTCTTTTTATTATTAACGCGTAAACTGAATAATTTGGAAATTTAACGAAATTTATAACTTTTTTTTTTACGTGCCATAAACTAATTACATGGGATGCACGCAAGTACCGTTACACGTACAGAGAACATGCAGACAAACATATTATAAATAGTCATATGCATATACTCACGTATGTTAACTAATCAGAAAAAATTAAACCGTAATAATATCTAGTCGAAACTCTACCTGCGTTAAAGTGACGGGAAATATATTAAAAAAGAAAGAAAGAAGATGAGAAATAAATAAAGAAAATTTTATGAAACCGTGAAATAAATTGTGCGTCCCGATTGTGGAAACTCGCGGGCGCGCATAATCATAACTTTCACATACGCTAACTAATAGCTACTTAAAAAAATTAATGGAAGAAAAAAAAATGAAAAACGTTCCTTCGGTAAAAGCTGTTCAATAATCGTGCCTTCGCAGCTTCGAGAAACTGAGAATCAAAAGTCTTTAGTGATGCTTAGAGGTTTAAAAGAGAGAAAGAAAAAAAGAGTAAATTGGGGTGAATGAGGCAAACACGTGTAGTCGTGAGAATAATTGACTTTAAGGAATACCTGATGTCGAAAAAACTACTGCGTGTCCTGTGGTCTCGAAATTCCCCAAAAAAGTCGTGTCCATTTTTTTTTCATCCACTGCAAATTTGAATTTATAGATTTTCCAAAAATTTTCTTCTATATTTCGGTTTCTTCAGGATTTTTTAAAATGGTCAATGCTCGTTCCTACCGTGTAATTTTATACCTAGCTCCCGGCTAGACTCAGACCCGCACCCCCTTTTGGACACCCTCCATATGTAAAAGGTAGATTCCGAAAAATGGCAGCTGTCCTCGCGACTGACCACTTGGTAGTTCAAAATGCACCCGGCTGCACCCAAGTTGCATCTCACTCCCTCAAAAAGGTGCATTTGTCTAATGTCCTGTATACTGACCACCCCTATTTGTATAGTCACCTATACACTTACCATCCTTACAACGTCAGTCCCGTACAATTAGAAGGGACTGCATAGAGTCTGTATGAATTTCCATTCTCGAAGAATCACGCCTTATCCTTGACAAAAGTGGATTTGGATTATTCAAAATTTCGGAAAAATCAAATTTTTACTAATCCCTCCAAAAAATTCTTGATAAATAATCTTACTTTTTCCATCCGTAACTAACGGGACGATATATTCGCCACAATAGCAAAAATGATGCATCGATGCATTTGCATGCAACCATTTTCCAAAAATCCCATAAAATCGATCCCCTATCGAAAATTCGAAAATGCAGCCGTACGCGCACCGCATGAATCATCTTTACGTAGGGACTATATATAATACCGTGACATGTTATCCGTGGGGTAGTAAGGGTACGGGGGTGAGGAAAGTGGGAGGTGTGGGTCGGTTTCCGAAATTGTGGAAATTCGAATAAATTAGTACAACGCGCACGCATGCGCGTTCGCATGGGTGGATGCATACATTATAATACATTAGGGGAGGAAATCGGTCACGGTTAGTACGGGTCCATTGTAACACGCACGCACACACACGATACGGCGACACGCACGCGTCAAGTAAAACAAAATAAAAATTTTGCTTGGGAATAAAAAAATTAAGTTTCCGTAAACACAGTATACCGAGCGTATTAGTTCGCGGGGGTGCGTATACAAGTTCATATAGGATGTTCAGTGCAGTGTAGTATATCGAACAGAGTATAGATTCCTATAGGCTATGCACAGTTGACTATAGTAAATGACCGGTAAGAAAGATGGCCACCCTCAGTAAAATTTTAAGCATCTGGTGCGGAGGGTTCGCGTGGAGCCCTTTGGAAAAATTTTCGTACAAGGGTGCGTCTCGGGGTCGTGACCTTGACTATACCTCTGAGAGGAATCTTTTTTTTTTGGGGGGGAAAAAGTCGAAAAAGGAACCACGCATATGCGTATGCATATGTGTGTGTGACGCGTGCCCGTAGGTCCCTTTTGACCAGCCCTTCGCACTCTCTATACCTTAATGTCCCTTTTTGGTAAATGCGTCTCCCCCCAATAGCAGGCACAATGCCTAGTACACACGATGCACACGATGCACACGATGCGCGCGTTCATGCAAATGGCCCGAAGAACCTTTTTAATTGCATTGTCCCTTTTAATGGCCTCCCGATTCTATCGGGAATCTCGATTACTACTGATTTACGCATACGAGCATGCGTGCACATATGACTTTGGTATACTGTACTGTACCTACTATGCTATAGACATTGCAATTCCACCCTCTGTCGAATATGCATTGGTCCATTTTTGTTCATCTTAATCGTCATGCCCATTTATTACGTATTCGTAATAAAAGTGGGCATTGTCGGTAACGCCAGTGAATACATTCCTTTTTCACTCCCTTTTATGCATATACAAAATTTGGAAAATCGTCATTTGTCACTGGTGACGAATCGACGAAGGTTCGATCCGTGAGAAATTTTGGACCTGTCGATAATTTCGTAAAAATATTTTCAAAAATGAAGCCTCTCGATGTCGTTTCAGGGAAATTTTTATTTTCGTCACGATTTATAAAAAAGTTCACGTGTTTCACGACTATCGCGTAAATCATGGAAATGACGTAATTGAATGGAGAGGATATGTGATTATGATAAAACGGAAATGTGCCGGTGAGTGGCGCGAAAAATTATTTGAAACGCGAGGTAACGTAAGGGGTGTCGTCGAAGTCGCGGGCACGAGGGCGGGAGGGGAAAAAACGCAAAACCAAAAACAACTATAGGTGCGCGCGAACGAAAAAAGACGAGAATAAAGAAAAGAAACTTAAAGAGAGAACTAAAGAATAAATGCCTTCATTCAAATAACAAAAAAAAAAAAATGAGCGCAAAATCAAATTTTTAAAATCCTAAATCAAAAATGTGTCCAGACCGAAAGACACTAAAAGTATATTATATATATATATGTATATGTATAGAGGACTCATAATTATAAGTGAATATATATATACATACATATATTATGAATTATATTGGAGTAACATGCCTAGTCTATTATAAGAATGAAATTTATGAGAAACACAATTACATGCGATGAAAACCAGATTAAGTTAACAAAAATTGTAAAGCATTATTTATCGTTTATCAATTATCTATTATACGTCATTAGTAATTAGTTTTATTGTCACATAGTACGATGCGCATACCTAACTGCAGTCGGTCCACGAATAAAATATTTAAAAACTGACAGATGGGAACACGTGTTTCGTGCTTGAGACTCCCGTAGGGAAATTTTCAAACGGCCAATTCTTTTTTTTTTGCCAAATTCTTTTTAATACATTTCCATTGATTCACCATGCGATACCTTTGGCAAAAATTCATTGGCAATCAAAAATTTTACTTCGGACTTCAAATTTTTC